CCCACCTAAAAGTAAGACCATGGTGGGATGTTGGTTTCCTGTGCCGGATTTCATTTTCCATAACGCCCCTTGTCCCCAGTTCCGTCCTTGTTGCTACTACAAATGACAGATTTTTTTTTTTTCACCCAAGTAGTAATACTGCGTTATGGACACAGCGACCATGTTTTCTTTCTCTGTCCATCATGGATGGACATGGGAGCTCCTGTGAGCGTGCAAGAGCAGGTGTCTCTGCCTCACTGATGGAGACATCTGGTAGCGGGCATAGTGGGTCCCACCATGGTCGAGTGGTTCCTCAGGGGAGGCACACCGGCCAGTGCTGTTTCCCACAGGCACTGTGCTGACTGGCAGCCCCACCCACTGTGTATGAGACATCCCTGGGCGGTCCCTTTGGGGTCACAGCCACTCTGGCTGCGGGCTTTGATTGGCGTTTCCCTGATGGTTAGTGTTGGTGGAGTATTGTTTTTGTGCACTTGCTGCCCCTCCTTTGGACACTATCTATTCTAATCATTTGTCCATTTTTACGTTGGGTTACTGGGGGAGGAGGGGAGGCTGTTGGGCTGCTTGAGTTTCTTACGTAATCTGGATGTGACTTCCTTGTCCACTGAACGGTTAGCAGATGCTTTCTTTGTTTGTTTGTTTGTTTTGGTTTTTTGCCATCCTCTTGTTTCCTTTGCTATGCGGAAGCTTTTCACTCAGATGTATTCAGTCTCCTTGGTCAGTTGTGGCTTCTGTGGCCTGCGCTTTGAGGATCACAGCCTTGAAGCCTCTGCCCCGGCCAGTGTCCTCATTCATTTCCTGCTTGGTTTTTTTGTTTGTTTGTCCTACGTGTAAGGCCTTGATCCATCTTGAGTTGCTATTTGTATGCAGTGGGAGATAGGTTGTAGTTGGCTTTAAGTTCTGAACTCTGGACTTTGTTGGGGTGAACTCGATATTGGGGGGTTGCAGGAAATGACTAAGAGTGAATCTGACTGACTCTTTTCTGTGAGTTGAGCCCCCACTCACCCACCCCTGCCTGTGTGTTCCCAGCAGAAACAGCTTGAGTTTATCCACACACACCTGGAAAATGACGAAGGAAGTGACACGTGCCTGCCTTGGTGAGGAAGTAGATAGAGCAGCAAGGATGGGCAGCAAGGCACCTGCAGCTTGCTGGATCACTCACCTTCCCGTTGCATTTTAGGGACCGCTGGCATGTGCTGTATGACCCGTGCTGCCAGGAGATCTGAGCTGGCTCTAAGCACAGTGATTCAGTGGACGGATTTATTCATTCATTTATTTTTTTTTATATCTGCAGCCAATTGTGGAGCACATAAACTGTTAAAAGGATTTAGCACTCTGTGACTTTACCAGTCTGCTTTAGCATGGACTTTATGGCAAGTTCCAAGAAGGGAATTTTGTGTTTCCTCTCAGCTGAGTTGCTGGAAGGTTTTGAATGCACAAAGGGCCCCTGCCAAAGCCTGGTTCTCATCAGAGGCATCACCAGGGGGCTGTGGAGGGGAGGTGGGAGGATCTGGGGTCCACACAGTGCCCTTGCTGGTTGCCATCTGTTTTGTCCTTGCTTATCCCCCAAAAGCTTGTGGAAGGCGAGGAGTAAAGGGCTGCCAATCCACTGTGTGGGGCACACAGCTCTAGACACACCCATGCCCCTTGCTGGTGGTGAACAAGGAAAGCACTGGCTTGGGTGCTACGCCCTATGAGCCTTGACGCAGGCGCAGGACGAGAACACATGACCATGTGCCTGCACCTGACGCCCCTTCAGCCTACTTCCCTTCCCGCCTACCCCAGTGGGGTCTGAGTGGCAGCCGCTATCACAGGCCCTTGCCTCTTCTACCTGGGACCGCAGGAACAGCCACTTTTAGAAACTCTTGTCTCCAGAGGATTGATCCCCGACAACATTTTTAATCTGGATCTGGGAAAGTTGCCTAGGTCCCGCCTTGACACCTTGGCTCGCTCCCCGCGGTTGGGCGCTTCTGCAGCCCGCTGGTTAATCAGCGCATTCTCCCTGGAGTCCTGGAGGCCCCTTGTCTTATCCATTAGCAGCTGTTTGATGAGCTGCTGGCTCCAGGGGCCAGTTTCCATACAGTAACTCTGTGTTTCCTGCTGCGACGGTCCCAAGGCAGGCCACCTCAGCCTGTGCCCGCAGGAAGTTCCTGTGCAGCAACCCACAGCCTGTGGTGGCCACGTCGCTGCTTCAGGCTAAGACTCAGCCGTCACTGCTAGAGATGCTCGAGAGATTCCCAGAGTCCTAAGTCTCTTGGTGACATCAATGCCCTCCAGCTGCCATCAGGGTTGCCTGAACCCCCATGAAAGTCATGCTACCCGTGGTCACCTGACCCTCCTGGCCCAGGGTCACGGGTCCCAAAGGCCTGTATGTAATGCCAGGGAGGAAATTGGAGATGCTAGTTGCCTGGGGGGGGGGGGCCAGCATCTCTTCCGCTTCCATGGCCTCTGCAGGTGGCAGAGGGGCTTGAGGAAGGACCAAGATGGCAGCAGAAGGTCCTGGCCGAAAGAGCCCCAGGGTGTGGGCTCCCAAGCCAGGCCAAGGCCCTCAGGCCTCACAGTGTCTGAGCAGCCCCAGGAGAATGCTTGGGCCAAACCAAGTCCTGCGACTATGGAATTTTTTCTTTTTTTCTTTTTTTTTTTTCCTCCTCTTTTCTTGATTGATTGATTTAAGAGGCAGAGTTACAAAGAGAGATTTTTCTATCTACCGGTTCACTTCCCAAATGGCTGCAATTGGCTGGAACTGTGTCAATCCAAAGTCAGGAGCCAGAAGCTTCTTTGGGGTTTCCCCCGTGAGTACACTTAGGGTGACTTCCACTGCTTCCCCAAGCACATTAGCAGGTAGCTGGATTGGAAGTGGAGCAAGTGGAACTTGAACCATTGCCCATATGGAATGCCGGTGTCACAGGCAGAGACAGCAACACCAGAGTGCTGCCCCCGGAACCCAAATGCAAGGGCCTGGCGCGGTGGCCTAGTGGCTAAAGTCCTTGCCTTGAACGCATCAGGATCCCATATGGGCGCTGGTTCTAATCCCAGCAGCTCCCATCGGCCAGTGCTGTGCCAATCCCAGGCCAGGAGCTCAGATCCTCTTCTGGGTCTCCCACACAGGTGTAGGGTCCCAGGGCTTTGGGCCATCCTCAACCACAAGCAGGTGCAGGGACAATGCAGGGAGCGTACCTGTGAGCAGGACAGAGGCGAGGCTACAGCAGAGGCCCTGAGGCAGGCACAAAGCTGGGCAAGCTCAAGGTTTTCAGGAGTGCGAAGTGACGAGGGGCCGTTGGTCACCCGGGCCCTGGGAACTAAGCGTAGGACTCTGGGTTCCTTCTCAGCCATGCAAAGCCCCCTGAGCAGTGCCGAGCAGGGGACTAACGCTCTCCGGATTGTGCTTGTTTGGGAGTTCATGTGGGAGAAGAGCCATTGGGACAAAGCCGGAAGCCACTAGAGACATCGAGTCAGGGGGTGACGTGGCTCAGGCCACTAGGGGGATGCCCAGTGGACTGTGTACACAGCACCCGTGGACAGCTCTCAGCTCAGCAAGGCATGGGTGTGTCACGAGTGTCCCGGCTCCTGCCAGGCCTTTGAGCCTCCTCCAGCAATCACAGCAGGGTAGGAGCACTCTACCAGCATCTGGGCGGAGGAGGCCTGGGTTGATCGTGCAGGGCCCTCAGGGACCCTGGAGTAGAATTTTAAGGTGCCAGATTGGGCCTTGGTTGGTAGCTTTTTAAAAAATATTTTTAATTGGAAGATGGATTTACAGAGAGAGACAAAGATCTTCCATCCACTAGTTAGCTTCCACAATGGCCACAATAGCCAGAGCTGAGTCGATGTGAAACCAGGAGCCTCTTTCAGGTCTCCCAAGTGGGTGCAGAGTACCAGGGCTTCGGGCCATCCTATTCTGCTTTTCCAGACCACAAGCAGGGAGCTGGATGGGAAGTGGAACAGCCAGGACATGAACCAGTGCCCATAGAGGTGGCTGGCGCTTGAAGTAGAGGTTTAGCCTGTTGAGCCGCGGTGCCAGCCTCTGATTGGTAGCATTTTTTTTCCTCTCCATTTTTATTTATTACCAATAATTTAAATTCTTGGGGTGCAGCATCATTCAGATTATGTGTCCAAAGACCTTTGCAAGCAGGTTGCTTCGGAACTTGGCACGAACCATGCCACTGTTCACATGAGCATCAGTTGGCTTTTTCCAAGATGGCTGGTTTTGTTGGGTTTGCCACAAGGAGTCACTGTGGGGTCCTTCGCTCTGTAAATGTAGGTATATACCTGTTGCCCACGTAGAATTCAGTCTCAGCTTTGGCATAAACACCTTCGGCTTTGAGCAGCGCCGTGCACTTCCTTTGGTTCCAAAGACTTTTCTGGTAGCCCGCAAAAATGGCCTTGCACCAGTCTTCCTTCTAGAAGCGGCTGCCTTCTAGAAGTCCTGTTCTCAGGAGGACTCCACAGACTCCAAGTTGGCGGAAAAGTCAGACTACAGGAAGTTTGGGCCCCAGGACCCAGTGTGCGGTTCTTACAGCTTGGCTTCCTTCATGCCCCTCTTAGTCTCAGGCCAAGTGGTGCAGCTGAATGACCAACATCTCTTTTTAACTGCCTTGGGGGGCAGGGTGGGGGAGGAGGTCTGCAAAGATGCTGGGGAGGTCTGTCTTGCAGTTAGCGTGCTCACCTTACCCAGGGCAGCTGTGCTGTCCCAGCAGGGGTGTGAGCTCCATTTTAGCAGATCCTGCCAGTTTTCCCCTAAGGAGTATACCAGGTCGCTTCTGCCAGCAAGGTGCAATGGCGCCAGGTCCTGGACACACCGCTGCATTGGCATTTTAGCCATGCTGGTAGGTGCCCGTTGGCATCCCATGGTGTTTCCTGTGTGTGTTCTAGCATTTCACAAAATCCAATTCAACAAGACAATCAAACAGAGCTCTCCAGGCCACCTCTCACCCTCATGCTAGTAGTAACCCCATGATCCCACTGCTGGCAGTCCTCACCAACAGCCCCAACCGCCTTTATGTTTCCTCAATAGGAAGAAGAAAAATGACCCAAAACAACCACCCGAGACCCCGCAGAACCATGAATATCAGTACAACATGAAATTTGCTAAGATGGGCAAGTGCATCATCATAAACAACAAGAACTTTGATAAAGTCACAGGTGGGTGTGAAGGCAGGGCTCGTCTTCCCCATGCCCCTATTCACTCCTCCCATTTCTGTCACATGTGGATCAGAAAAGGGCAGTGCCCATCAGCTGCAGCCAGCAGCCCCTCTGGAGGCGGGAAAGGGGTGCGGGGGGACCAGGAGCCATCAGTCTTGGGTACCAGCACCATGACCATGAGCTGACAGGGGATTCTGGCCACGGTGCTGCAGATCCAGGTTGCTGTGTGGCTTGCATGGGAGCTGAAAGCTGCAGTGAGGTGACTGGATAACTTCCTGGAGGGCTGCTCGTGCCATTTGCACCTTTAAACGGTGGCGTTTTATATTCTCAGTGTGATTACACTACAGCTGTGACCAACTGCAGAGAGCGCCTGGCCTGATAGTGCCCACACATGGTTCTTAGCCTGGGCTTGCTTGGTTCCCACAGGTATGGGCGTCCGCAACGGCACCGACAAAGATGCCGAGGCCCTTTTCAGGTGCTTCCGAAACCTGGGTTTTGAGGTGTTCGTCTACAATGACTGTTCCTGTGCCAAGATGCAAGATCTGCTTAAGCGAGGTGATTCCCTCCCTCTCTTCTGTCCATCTTCCTGCACCTGCAGGGTGCAGAAGGCTGAGTCTAAGGGAGGGCACACATATCCTGCCTAGAACAGAGTTCAAGTATGAGCTTTGCCCTGGTGGCCAACAGAGAATGCTGGTCTCCATATTCTTCAGAACATTTGGATGTTTTCTATGTAGCATGCTCGCAAGATTGCTGTTACGTCTTTAACACAGTCCCAACAGTGGTGATCCGTAGAATATTCACATGCTCTTTTTATGAATGTGAGTTAGAGCTTTGGGAGTATAGGAGACTTGCCAAGGGATGTGTTAGTACAGGAAGAACCCAAACCCAAGTGTTTGTCTTAAATAAGTGGGGAGGAGAAGGAGTGTTGTGAAGCAGTGGGTTAAGTAGCAGCCTGTCCTGCCACTGTCCCATATGAGCCCTGACTGCTTCACTTCCGGTCCAGTTGCCTGCCAGTGTGCCTGGGAAAGCCACAGGAGATATCCCAACTATTGAGCCTCATGGGAGACACGAGTGACTGAAGAAGAAAGACAGAGGGAGAGGGCCTGCATCCACTGGTTTACTCCCTACATGGTCCAAATGGCCGGGACTAGACAAGGTCAAAGCCAGTATCCTCCATCCATGAGGATACAGGGGCCTCAGTACTTGGCCACCCTCTGCTGCTTTCCCCAGTCTCATTATCAGGGAGCGACATAAGTATAGCAACTGGAACTAAAATCGGTGCTTTGACATGGGATGCTAGCACTGCAAGTGGCAGCTTAACCCCCTGCCCCACAACTCCCAACCCCTTGCTTTCCAGATACTAAGTCATGTAAGAGATGCTTTCCTCGCTTCTTACTGAAAGCAAAGCCAAGGCACAGAATGGCTAAGTGACCTGCCTAAAAGCTTGGCATTAGCCACAGCGGGTCCAGCCCCTCACTCTCCCCAGTATACTGCCCCTCCACACCCCAGGGCTCCTTGAACCCCGAGTGCTCAGAGCTCACTTCCTTTTGAAATGGCCCTATTCTGCTTCAGACTGGTACTTCCAGAACTCTCCCTCTTTCTGATTTCTCTCCCTTGATCCTCATTCCCTTTGGAGGGGTGGTTCAGGAGCTCCGTCCTGTCCCGTTACCTCCCTTGTGCTCCCCCTCATACCTTCCAGTCTGGGATGCCACAACAGAGGATGTCGCAGGACTTAGATTATAACGTGTCTATGTCTGGATTGCTTGCAGCTTCTGAGGAGGACCATACCAATTCTGCCTGCTTCGCCTGCATTTTATTGAGCCACGGGGAAGAAAATTTGATTTATGGAAAAGATGGTGTAGTTCCGATAAAGGATTTGACAGCCCACTTTAGGGGAGATCGCTGCAAAACCCTTTTGGAGAAACCCAAACTCTTCTTTATCCAGGTGAGCCCTCTTCCAAGCTAATCAAGGTGACGTGGGAAAGGACTTCCCCATGCCTGGTGGAGTTGTTACAAAGCTACAGGCTGATTCTGTTTAGGCTGGAGTTTTATTTTTCAGCCTCTGGAAGGCTGGCACATTTATTTGCGTTAGATCCTGTGTTTCTAAGGTTTCTTTAAGACATTGCCATGTGTTTCTTTGCTTAGTCCTTCCATGTAGCATTCGCTCAGCCACCTTCTGTTGAATGATCATGGAGGGCTTAGCATGTGCCAGGCATGGTGCTGGGCCCTGGGATGTGATGGGGACAGCCCGTGCATTTCCGTTCCCAGCTCCTAGGAGTGACCTCTGCTTTGACACCCAGGCTTGCCGAGGCACGGAGCTGGATGACGGAATCCAGACCGACTCAGGGCCCGTCACTGACACGGATGCCAACCCCCGCCATAAGATCCCAGTTGAAGCTGACTTTCTCTTCGCTTATTCCACAGTTCCAGGTACCAAATTTACTGTCTACCAACCTTACCCATCCAGCCCACCGTCAGGAGGTGAGCTTGGGGATTGGTCCTTTCTCATTACCGCAGTTACAGATTATGTGGTGCACATCCCAGATCCCAGATGCTCCTGCTTCCCTAACTTCTTGAGTATCAACACAATGCTCAAAAATTTGGTTTTTGCAATGTTTCAAGATTCAGAAGTGTATTAGGGATACACAACCAGAAAACTGAATGCCAGTTATCCAAAAATGAGGAAAGCTCCCAAATGTGAAACACATCGGATCCCAAGCTTTGTGGATAAGGGGTACTCAGCTTGTAATACAGACACCGCAGCTCAAGTCACAGGAGCGTGGAGGTCTGAGTCCCAGGGTTTCATCCCTGTCGAGACTCCAGCGGCATCCACTGGCTCGCCTTTTCCCAGCACGTGAGAGCCTCCTACATTCCCTGGCCTGCAGCCCTTCTCTCCGTCGGCATTCCCAGCAGCCTCCCACCTCTTGGACCATCTTCTGTCTTACCTCTCTCTTGCCAAGCTCAGCCAGGAAAGACTGGGCCCACCTGGATAGTCGGGTTATCGCCCCATCTCAGTTCTGTAACCACAGTCTCACCTGCGAAGTCCTTTTAGCCATGTTGGGATAAACATTCACAGGGTCTGGGGTCAGGGCCTGGATGTCTTTGGAGACCATTGCTCTCTCCTCCCCCAGAAATGAGTCCTTTTTTCCTTCTGGGAAAGCTGAATTCCTCCTGTGTGATATTAGCGTGTTTTTCGGTCACTGTAAGAGCAAGCATCTCTGTAATATTAAACACTGTAAAGTGTTTCCTGTCTTACCGATCTTCTAATGCTTGGAGATAGTTAGGAAAGGCGTTACTGCTTTCCTGGCTAAGGCTGGTTGAACTTTAGGGGTGTGCCAAGATCAGACGGAGATTTCGGAATATGGTAGAGCTGTAGGTCAGATCTGGACTCCTTCACACCCATACACAGGTTCCAAAAGAAAAAGCCAGCATTGCGCACACCTCCTCGTTGTTCCCTACACCCTAGGTTTGTGCGGTGAAAGTGCTTCCTGTGCTGGAGTACAGCCCGTCGCGAAGTTCGAATGATTCTGCCAGCTGCCACAGGGGCTTTGTCAAGTGCTCAGTGCAGAGGTGTTGCTGATAGCAAATTGGCCCTTGTGTTCAGAAAACTGGCTCTGGCAAGAGCCACAGGCAGGGTTTTTAGAGAAAGTAACTTCGCATGCTTCAAGGATGGGATCAAACAGAAAACAGTTTGGCCTTCTTGCAGCTGAGGAGGGAGGCAGCGTAAGGGGCGGGGTGGGGCTGTGTGTCTGTGACCAGCAGTAGGTTGGTGAGTGCTCCCAGCGAGGGAGGAAGGATGAGCTCACCCAGGGAGGCAGGGGAGAGACAGGCTGGACAGCAGCTGCTGGGAGTGAGTCCTGTGGGGCCCAGCAGCAGGAGGCAGAGGATGGTGGCTTGTCAAATAGTACCAAGCTAGAGCCCAAAGCCCTCGGCAAAGACTCTGGCAGCTCAGGCTGCCATGTCCAAATTCCATAGACTGGGTGGTGCAAAGTACAGTGGCTTCTCGTTGCTGTGGAGGCTAGGAACGCCATGTTCAAGGTACTAGCTCACAATGTTTTCATTGAGGGCTCCCTTCCTGGTTTTGTTTTTGTTTTTTTAATGGACAATTTCCTGCGTTGTCTGCCCATGGTAGGAAGAGAAGCCTCTTCTAGGGACACCCATGGTGTTGGATCAGGATCCCACCTGTGAGACCCCCATTTATTCTTTGTTACTCCATGAAGGCTGTATCTCCAAGTACAGTCATGTTGAGTGTTGAAGCTTCAACATGTAAATAGGGAACCAAGGGGTGCCTGTGTCCATCACATGGCACAGAGTGACAGGGCATGGCCCAGACAGGCAGATAAAGGGGTCTTATTGTGGCATGCCTTGTGGGTATGCCATGCCACCTGAACTTCACCCTGATGAAGACAGTCATAGGATGGCATCTGCATTTTGAATTGATTACCTCTGAGACCCTCCTAGGACACAGGTTAGAGGTCATGTGCCCAGGGAGGTGATGGTCTGCACCCCAGTGTCACCAGGTTATTGAGTCGAAGGAGATGATGTATGGGATCTCCCAGCCCCTTGCCCCATGAGTGAAATGCATTGCCATGTTGCTAACACCATCAATGCCAAGCTTCGTGCTTCTGGTTACCAGGAACGGGCAGCCTCAGTCGGTGCTGCAGGAAAGAATCCCAGGGCAGCTGAGCCACTTTCCATGGCTAGGCCATTTTTGCTTATTGTACCTTTTATTCTCTAGCCGATTGTAAAATGGTAATGATGATGACCTTGTTCTCATCGAACTAGAGTGAACAATTGGCAGTAGGAGGAAGAAGCACAGTGCACTGTGTATGCCAAGTGCAATTGCATGTTGTCTCTCGTCGTTTTAAATGGGTGACTGGGGTGGGGGAGTGGAGCCTTCCCCTGCTCCTAGTGAAAACCTCAGCTGGTCCATGGCTTTGCTCTGTGTGCCCAAATCATGGTCATTGTTGCTTTTTTTGTTTGTTTGTCTGTTTAAATCACAAGCAGTGCCAACAATTCTGTAATTCAATGTCTCACACCCCAAACCTGCCTGGGTTTCGTGTTTCTCCTAATTGTAGATGAGCCCTTCTATAGGGGCCAGCGTTACTCACCTTTCTCTCCTCCTCTCCTCTCCCGCTTGCCAGATATCTTTGTAGATTATTGAAGGGTAAAAGAGGGAAGGAGGGTGTGGGGCAGGGATGTAGAGTAAGAGGGAAGAGCTGTGGCAGCTGGCCTCTGAGGGGCTGGACCAGTTGAATGGCCCAGGCTGGGTCTTCTTGTGACTTCTGGAGTTCCTGACTCCCTGTCCTTCCGAGGTCCCTGAGCTTGCATCTGTCTTCCTGTGTAGCCCTGGCGGTGCCTTCCTGAACTCGCAGGCATGTACCAAGGCACTTGGGCATCTTCTCTGCTGGACCCGAGACAGCGCCAGGACCAGCCTTCCCTCTCAAGGACCACCTGTGCTTTCTGAGCCTAGGATCCCCAGGCCTCCCTGGGCAGGGGGCAGCCCTCCCTCTCCCCTGAGGCAGCTGCTCCTGCAGCCTACTCTTGCCTGAGTAGTCTTCTGCCAACTGTGGTTCTTTTTTGTTCTCCAGCAGTAGCAGTGCATCTCGGCGTTGCCCTAGGTTCCCTGCAGACCCTCTGCTGAACACTCATCCCAGAAGGGCAGTGGGGAGTCCAGCGTTGCAGGGTGATCCTCCACTGCACACCCTCACTCGCAGATCCAATGTGTATCACATGGGACTCGTGTGTCCCCTGATACAGGAGGCTTCCCCAGCAGTATCTGCCAATGCTGTGACCCTTGGTGGTGTCACCTGTTCCTTTTCCTTGTTGGACACTCCCAAGCATTCTGGAGCCCTCCTGCATCCCTCTCCATGGGATGTGCTTGCTTACTGAGCGCTCAGGCATCATTCACACGAATCATGCGGCTGCAGGGACCAATTCACCAAAATTCTTGTTGCAAAGCAAGGAAAGACCACCCCTGTATACACACACTCCCCGACCCTCCCGCCATTGGCACTGGGTGCGGCAAGCAGTTGCCACCGTGGCTGACACACTCCTTTCTCTCCCCTTGAAGGTTACTACTCGTGGAGGAACCCTGGCAGGGGCTCGTGGTTCGTGCAGGCGCTCTGCTCCATCCTGGACGAGCATGGCAAGGAGCTGGAGATCATGCAGATCCTTACCCGGGTGAATGACAGGGTAGCCAGGCACTTCGAGTCTCAGTCGGACGACCCAAACTTCCATGAGAAGAAGCAGATCCCCTGCATGGTGTCCATGCTCACCAAGGAACTCTACTTCCGTCGTTGACTATTCTGGGCTGCGTCCTGGCCTGGCATGCCACCTCATTCACCAACAGATCCCGTTTCTTTGATTTTTTTTTTTTTGCACTCCTTAAGATATCCATAAATTCTTTGGGATTTTAATTTCGGGTAAATGTACTGATCCAACAGGGAAACACTTTCTGGTGCTGTCACGTTCTCTGAGATTTCAGAGACTTTTTATGATGATTTTTTCAGATTCACTTGCGGCTCGGCTCATATTTCCTTCACCTTGTTGCACTTACTATGAATAGAGGGGGAAAAAAAAAAAGAGCTCTTGGCTATGCAGACCTCGCCTGGGGGTGACACTCTGAGAATCTGACTTACCCGCACTTGACAAAGAGGATTCCAGTGCTGATGGGATAGTCGTTGGCCTGTTTTGCAGGAAGTGGGTATGGAGTGTGGTGTGAGTGAATTTTCATTGGATAGGGCAGAATGTCATATGCAAATCCCCAGATAAGTTAGGGGAGGTGGGGAGGGACTTCATGACTGATACCTGTCAGTCGGGATCCACTTCAGAAAACTGCCCCTTGAACCTCATGTCTCCGTAGAGGGGGCTTGACACTGGAAGTGGACTTGAGTGGGTGATTCAGTGGAGACCACATGGCAGGAAACTGGTGGCACACCCAGGGCTCTGGAGAGAATGGGAAGAGCGTGTCCGAAGTTGGGATCACCCACTGGACCTGAGATGGCAGTGTACCTGATGAAAGGTGGAACTCCTGAGGGATTGGGGAAAACGGAGCGCCAATGAGAACAGAGCCAGCCACTGCTTGAGAACAAGGGGGTGGGCAAGGGCACCTTGGCTCTGCAGCCTGCCACTTGCACCAGCACCTTCCCACTCCAGCCTCAGCTGGATGCCAGCTGGAGCCTAATTTTTGTCATTCGGGGCAGGGCCAGGGACAGGAGGGGAGACAGGCAGTGGGCAGTGGCTGGCAGCCTGGCCCATCATGTGAACACAGCTAACCCTTTACACTGAAGTTCAGCAAGGCCTCCATTTAGTCTGGGTTGTCAGGTGCCATCTGTGTATGTGCAAAATCATGTTTCTGCTTTATGTGCAAAATAATCTGTTTGACCTTTAAAATATATTTGGAACTTTTTAGACTAGTCCCAACCTGATCCTGAGTAAATGTGTTGCTTCTAATTCTTTAAATGGGATAGAGTTTATGGCAAAGATTTTTGACATTTTGTTTTCAAGGTGGTGTTATCATTTGGATTCTTGGTAAATGACATATTTTTTTTCATGCCTAATAACTGGTTAACAAATGTTAATATTTATTGATTAAAATCTGATTGTTTAATTCCTAACCGGCTCAGTTTTCTTCTTTTTGAAGTTACCTATTGACAGTAAAGGAGAAAATAAATTAAGAATTGTCCCTACTGATGTGACCTCAACACACACACACATACAGTTACCTTTTGAAGCTAAGACACTATAAATCAATCAAATAATTGAAGTCAGAATGTACCACATGAAGGGTTAATTGATTTATAAGAACTGTTATGATAAGTTGCCGTTTATTAATTTGGCAAAAAAAAATCATGAGTAGAAGAATCTTCTTTCAAATTAAGCAAACTCATTTAGAGCCAGTTTGTTAGACTTGTCCCTGGTTTCCTGCCATCTGAAATAAACCAAATGTTCAGAATTGAAGTGGAGATTGTGAATGGAGAATCAGCAGGCCTCTTCCCTAATTGCAGCAGAATTCTCACGGAATCGCAGAGTTAAAAGCTGTAACATTGTGGAAACTTACCTTGTAGGCTTCATTAAAGTGTAATCTCAAGTGTCAGGCTTTTACTTTTTTTTTTTTTTTTTTTTCGGAAAGGCACATTTACAGAAAGAAAGATCTATCCATTGGTTCACTCCCCAAACGAGCGCAATGGCTACAGTTGAACCTTGCTGAAACCAGGAGCTTCTGGGTCTCCCATGCGTGTGCAGGGTCTCAAGGTTTTGGGCCATCTTCTGCTTTCCCAGGCCACAAGCAAGGAGCTGGATGGGAAGTGGAAGAGTGGGCAGTGCCCATGAGGAGTCCTGACACTTGAAGGGGGTACTTTGATGTGGGACACAGGTGTCCTAACTGCCACATTCCAAGATTTTTTTCGAAGATTTATGTATTTATTAGAAAAAGTAATGGGTGGGGGAGTAGGGGATGGGAGAGAAACAGATTTCCATCCACTGGTTCACTCCCCAAATGGCCAAAACGGCTGGGGCTGAGCCCAGAGCTTCTTCCTGGTCTCTGACATGGGTGGGTAGCAGGAATCCATGCGCTTGGGCTATCTTCCACAGCTTTCCCAGGAGTTAGCAGGGAGCTGGATTGAAAGTGGAGCAACCAGCCAGGACACAAATCGTCGCCTGTATGGAATGCTGCCCACAGGGGATGCCAGCATCATAGGAGATGGTTTCATATGCCTCAAGAGTAACCCCTCTTCTTTTTCTTTTTTTAATTCTTTGAGAAGTTGTAGATTATAAGTTATTATTATTATATCCTTGAAATGTAGATTTAAAAATCACTGTTTTAAGAGTGTTCCTTCTTAAATACTTCCGTGGGTAGATATTCTTATTTAATGAAATCCCAGATCCTGTTTATTTCAAGTTAGATGTATGTTTAAGCACACTTCCATTCCTAAATGACTTGGTGTGTTTACCTTCTGCAGTCCTGATGACAAGTTACCTTAAAGGGGGCACTCAATCAGTCCTGGGTTGTCGCTTGGAACCCCGGGTCTTGCTGCCGGCGTGTCACATGCAGCTCTACCCTCCTTGGCAGAGGGAGATGGTGTGGTCTACGGTGGCCTTCTTGGCAAGAACAGCTCGACCCTGAGTGTGCTTTGGTTTTGCTCTTTAAGGTTCCAGTTGTCTTAAGTGTTCGCTGCTCAGACGCATACAACCATCCTGAGCCCATTCTGTGTAGAAACTACTGGAAATAACGAGCTGAGCGTCTTGTGTTCACAGGATGTGAAATCTGGAGGAAACCCAGGGCCCCCTGTGAGAAAGCACAGCCTCCACTGGGAGGTGTTAGATGCTGGCTGGCAGTCCAGTCCAAGGCACATCTCCTGAAATCTTTTCATTTCCAGCTCCTCTGACCGAGAACTGCCTTAGCTTCCCAGGAGCACACTGTTCCTTCTGGCTTGTCATCTTTTCGCCCTTTTCTGAAAAAAAATAATTTAGCCAGGTAGGAAGTTGGCATGGGCACAAGCCAGGGATGCTGCTATACTGCAGGTGGCCCTTTGTATCCAAACGGAATTGATTTGAGGATGCCCACAGGTAGCAACAGTCAGCAGTTGCTCAGATCCTTCGCATACGATGGCCTGGTATTTTCATATAACCTAAGCATGTCCTGTGTATAACATCGAATGTGATGCAAATACCATTTAAATAGTGTTTACTGTGTGTAGGGAATAACAAGAAAAAATTGTGTTCAGGGCAGACACAATTTTTCTTACCAGTCGTTCCCATCTACAATTGATTGAACCTGTGAACCCCCTTGGGTGCGGAGCACCAGCTCTAAAGGATCAGTACACCGCCAGCAGCTGCCTGACTACCACTGCTTTCTGGAGAAACGTGATCCTTGAGGCCTTCAAAGACAGGCAGATCCAAAGGTTCTGTCCCAGCATGCCTTGTAAACACAGCCTTGAGTGCTAGCAGGAGTGTGAACCGGCAGTGTCGGCACATTCCGGCAGCTGGTCAGAAGTGCAGGTTCTCGGCCCTCGCCCCAAGCCTGCTCACTGGGACTGCATCTCCCCAGGTGCCCAGTGCTCCATGCTCAGGGCAGTCTGAGAAGTTCTGGTTTGAGGACAGGGCCCACAGTTTGCTAAACTGTTCTATTTCCCCACTCCCACCCCACTTGCACTGAACATGGAGCCAACAGCGCAGGACACGTCTGAAAAGAATTAGCAAAGAAACCCCACAGAAGGAATGTTCTCAAGCATCTCTTCACCCTCACTAAACCATCTTTTAAAACTACAGGATACTCTGCTGTCGTCGTTTTTCTTCTTTTTCAGACAAAATCCCAGAGACTGGACCGATTACATCATTAAAAGTCCAAGATGGATTTGACTCAGAGTTGTGGGGACTAGGCAGTTTCAACTCACAGCACCAGCACCTGCTCCACTTCTGGTACGGGCCTTGTGCTGCATCCTAACTTGGCAGGGGGCATCCCATGATGCAACAGAGCAAGCAAGCTAGGTCCCGTCTCCCTCTTACAAAGCCATCCTGGGGGCCCCATCCTTATGCCTTCATCTCATCCTCATTACTTCCCAAATCCCAATATGCAAATTCAAGCAACATCTGGAGACTAAGTCTCCAACACATGAATTTTTGCAGGACCAGTGGCCATACCATACTCTCAAGGTACTCTAGATTCTATTTTAAATTTGAGTTTTTCTTAAAGGTTTAATAAAACTAGTGCTAGGTTCTCAAAATGTCTAAGAATGTGATGTGCAGCCTTTAAAATGTTCAAATAAACAGAGGCAGACATTTGGCATAGTAATTAAGCTTGGAGACACCTGCATCACTTATTGAGAATGCCTGGATCTGAGTTTTGGCCCCACTCCAACTTCCCGCTAATAATGTGCACAGTGGGAGGCAGCAAATGATGGCTCAAGTGCCTGAGTTCCTGCCACCCACGTAGTAGTTCTAGACTGAATTCCTCCGTGCCAGCTGTAGGATGACCCAGGCCTGGCTATCATGGACATTTGAGAAGTGAATCTGGACAAAGCTCTCTCCCTCTCCTATTTTGTCTTATTGCCTTTCAAACAAATGAGGTTTTGGGTTTTTTTGGGGAATATTTTATTTATTGTTATTGGAAAGTCAGATTTACAGAAAGACAGAAAGATCTTCTGACCACTGGTTCACTCCCCACGTGGCTGCAACAAGCTGAGCTGAGCTGATCTGAAGCCACAAGCCAGGAGCTTCTTACAGGTGCAAGGGGCCAAGGCTTTGAGCCATCCTCTACTGCTTTCCCAGGCCACAACCAAGGAGTTGGATGGGAAGTGGAGGTGTTGGGCAAGAACCAGTGCCCATTTGGGTCCTAGGACATGCAGAGCAAGAACTTTAGCCATTAGGTTACCATGCCAGGCCCCAAACAAGTGAGTTTTAAAAACTCTTTTCATAAACCATGCAATGACAGGAGCCACTCCTTGCATGTTTACACTGTGGGCAAGAACCATGTGTGCTGAAGCCTCAAGGCTTATCTCCTCCCACCCGTCCATCCTCAGAGCTTGCAAGGGACTGGGAGAACTGCTTTTTTATCCTTGCTAGTGTGCTTTTGGGCCGCTTCTTTTGGTAGTTCCAGGTTTTGCTTGGGATGGAAAATAACTGATTCCTAAAGCATTAATGCAAACACACCAAGGACATACTTGGAAAGACTCAGCCACCAAACCCCCATCAACCTGCAGCTTCATGTATGAACAGACACCCTCTCAAACCATGTGACCGGCAGCTAAGGATGACCACGTGGCTTTGCTGTGAGTCTCAGCTTCCAAGGCACTCTAAATATTTATGGCACTGAAGTTTTCTAATAAATCTGTTTTAAGCATTTAAAGCCAAACTATGTCAAAAGGTTTAAATTTGGAAGGCATGTGGATTTACGGCTACACAAATAGTTACTTCAAAACACTGGTGGAAAAAATGGTCTTGACCTTCCTGCCTCCAGATTAAATAGCAAAAGTTTGGGGGTGTAGATGCGCCCCAGAGTTGGAGCACTCTTGCCCAGGAGCTTCCAGACTTGTGCAGGAACTTTACTCCAAGGCAATTTTGGGGGGAAAGCTCAAAAGCCAAGGGAAGAGCTGAGCAGCAGAA